TCCCAGAACCTTGATTTTACTGGGGTGGCAATGTTCCCAGCTTTTTAAAAAAAAACACAAAAAAACAAAAAACAGCAAAACTCCCTTGATTTCCATGTAAATTGGGTGATGTGATCCAGTTCTAAGCAATGCGAAGTCAGCAGAGTGGTCGGGAGGGACACACAGGAGGGCACCTTTTTGGGGAGAAGTGCAAAATCAGTTTGGAGTGCCTTTTTTCTCTGCTTTTTCCCTTGTTCCTGGCTGAAAAGTATGAAGATCCAATGGTTAGAGCTCAAGAGCATGAAGATGAGGATCTCACTGTAAGGCTGGCATGAAAGCCATTTCTTACATCATGATCACTCCAGGGCCTGAGTATGTGGAGCAGAGTGGAGAGCGGAATCATTCTCACTGTGTAGACTGTTCTTTTTCTCTTTCCCTCTCTCATGTATAACTAAATATGCATAAGTTAAATGTGCATATTATATACCCTTTCTGTATTTATATTGGTCTAAATCTATCCGACACCACTTTAGAAAGCCAGCAGTTACTATCAGATACCTACATGACCAAAGACTTCTTTAAAGGGTTAAAAATTCCCAAAGGCCAATGATAATTTTCATGGTGGACCTATGAATTTAAGGGTATTTTTTTGCATTTAATGTAGTATGTGTGCTTTTATGTGGTTGGGTGGTGAAAGATAGGAGGGGGGGAGAGGAGTTGCCTCACTACCAGTGGCCCTATCCATCTTTGAGCTCTTTAACTATGGGCTAAGATCCATTTGCCAGGTTAGTTCAACTGTAATAACCTGACCCAGCCACTAGGTGAGCCAGGTTGTCCAGGTACATTTTGACTCCAAGTGTCAATTGAAGAGGTGGAGAATGTTATTTAAGCATAAGCTGACTGGTTAGGTGGGGCAAGAATAGTTTCTGAAGCATGAGACTATGAGGAAAGATAATCTAGCCTCAGGCAAAGTTGGGGGAGAGCCCCACAATGTTAGAACTCAAAGGCATCATTGAGAGAGAGCATCCACCCAGAGGTAAGCAATCTTTACTCGCCAATTCAAAAAATATAAAAGTATTTATAGGTTTCAGTGTTCTCCTTTCCAAATTGAAACTCGATTTTTTAGGTCTTGTGATGAAATGCAAAGTCTTAGAATTTACATTACCCATTTATTAAATTAAAAAACATCAAGGAGAGAGTGACACTGCTGTTTAGCTAAGATATTAATATATAGGCATATTTATGAAGCACCTCAAGAGGCAGCTTTATAATTTTACACCCTGAAGTTATATTTCAAGCTATTTTGAAAAGCTAGATAGTGGTTTCTGGGTTGGGACTGATTATCCCTGATCATTGTCATTTTACAAGTGGGAAAACTGGACAAGGTCAGAGATTTGCCCAGAGTCACTATGCTGATATCTCCAGACCTGAAACCCAAGTCTCTTGACTCCCAATTCAAGGTTACCCTGAACCCTATTAAGAAATTCAGGAGGTGGGGGTAAGGAAGGTAGAGTCCTGTGGGACTTGGTGACTATTGTTTGTATATAAAATGTTTTGTATTGGACAATTGTTTTTACTTAATTGTTACAAGCTACTACTGTTGATTTTTGTTTTGAAAATTAAGTTAAAAATAATGAAGTACGTTCGAGTTTTTTTGGTTTTTATCTTTATAGTGAGTTGTTTTTTTAAATAACTATTAGTTCTGGATATTTTGTGGAACATACTATCCAATATTATTCTCTCAAAATAACATCATTTTGTTATTTCAGTTTAAGCTGGCAGTGTTTTAGGGCAGCCGGTTCAACCTGTGTGCTGCTGCAGGAGGCATACTGGTGTGCCACAAAAAATTTTAAAACATGCAACATTTGACTATTGAGTCAGGGGCACTGACATCTTTTCCCTTAGAATGTCGAATAAAAAAATGACAACAGCCAACACAACAATAGCCACCCAGTGTGAATGAATCAAAATTATAGCTTTTTTTTTTTTTTTTTTTTTT